AGACACTTAGTGCTCAGGGGTTTTATCAGGAGATAGTCACATAGGTACTCTCTGCTTAGCACCTGAACTCCCAGGCACCACATGTACAACATAAACCACATTGTTTGCATAAACAGTTTAGGCTCAGTGAACCATTGTTATTAGAGAACTAGAGGCCCAGTGCATAAATTCGTGCACAGGTATGGTCCGGCCAGCCTGCCCCAATGGGGTTCCATAGGGCTGGTGGGGGGAAGGGGCTGTGGGCGGTTGGCTAGCCAGCCCCGCCCCCAGTTGGGGTGGGGGCCAATTGGGCCAGGCCGGCAGGATTGGGACAGGGGGAGCAATTGGGGCCTGGATCAGGCTGGTTGCTGCCGCAGTGCACTTCATAGCCACCAGTTGTTCTGGTCGTTCCGCCATTCCGGTTGCTGGGCTTTTATCCTATACTTGGGGCCCAGTGCACGAATTCATGCAGCTTGAAAGGAACTGTGGGCCGTGAGGCTACAGTGGGCACAGGGGCAGGTCTCAGCCCATCCTCCATGCCCCCACCCAACCCCTCACACCGTGGTCCCCCGGTTCCCCTGTAAGCCGGCAGCCCCACTCCCACCACCGCTGCTCCCATGCGTTGACAGCACCGGCCCTACTGACGGCGGGTGCGAGCAGGGCCGTCGCCGGCAGCAGGTGTGAGAGGTAGCTGCCGGCCCCAGTTGCCCCTCAAGAGCAGGGGGAGGTGGAAAAGCCCTGAGGGGTAATCAGGGCTAGCGCCAGGCGCCGGCAGCAGGTGTGAGCGGCAGCTCCAGCCCTGGCATTATGTGCGAGGACTGGGCAGGATCGTGGTGCATGTGAGCAAAGAATTTTCAGTAACTACCAGAAGCTTGCACCAATGACTGCAACCGGGGCCCCACCTTGGTCTGGCGCCCCCGCTTACCTGCTCCACTGTCCCACCCCAGCCAACGCTCGCCATGTTCCGTGTGCGCCCGCTGGTGGTCAACACACGTCATAGTGACTGGTTGGTTGGTTCGGTTTTTTAGTTCCACCGTTTGGTCTATTTGCATATTAGGGTTTTATATATATACTAGGGGCCCAGTGCACAAAAATTTGTGCACTCGGGGGGGAGGGTGGTCCCTCAGCCCGGCCTGTGCCCTCTCGCAGTCTGGGACCCCTCGGGAGATAACGACCTGCTGGCTTAGGCCTGCTCCCAGGTGGCAGAGGGCAGGCCCAATCCCTAGGTGAAGCCCCTGGTCAGGCTCAGAGCAGGGCCAATTAGGGAGTTGGGGCGCCGCTCCATGTCATACAAAGAGCAGGGCGATCGGGAGGTTGCAATGCCACCCTCAGTCACACTCAGGGTAGGGCCAATTGGGGGGTTGGGGCACCATCCCCTGTCACACTCAAGGTAGGGTCGATGAGGAGGTTGCGGTCCCACCCGCTGTCATGCACAGAGCAGGGCCAATCAGGGAGTTGGGGCGCCGCACCCTGTCACACACAGAGCAGGGCCAATCAGGGAGTTGGGGCGCCGCACCCTGTCACACACAGAGCAGGGCCAATCAGGGGGTTGGGGCATTTCCCTCTATCACCCACAGAGCAGGGCCGATCAGGGGGTTGGGGTGCCGCCACTCTCACACTCAGGGCAGGGCCTAGGGGGAGTTTATGGCTCTACCCCGGCACACACATAGCAGGGCCCGTGGGGCGGGGGGACGGGGAGGTTGGGGCGCTGCACCCTGTCACACACAGAGCCGCAGGGCGATCAGGGGTTTGGGTGCTTCCCCCTGTCACGCTGATCACAGTGCTGGGGGGCATATTACCCTTTTACTATATAGGGTAGAGGCCTGGTGCATGGGTGGGTGCCAGCTCGTTTGCCCTGACGGGTGTCCTGGGTCATGGTGGGGGGCCCCACTGGGGTGCCTGGCCAGCCTGGGTGAGGGGATGATGGCTGTTTGCAGCTGGTCACACACCCTTCAGGGTGGGGGTGCCCACTGGGGTGTCTGGCCAGTCTGGGTGAGGGGCTGAGGGCTGTTTTCAGGCTGGGGGTGACTGAAGCTCCCAACTGCTCCTTTTTTTCTTTTTTCCTTCTGGGCCAGCTTTAGCTTTGAGGCTTGGCTCCAGCTCTTAGGCCTCCATGGCTGAAAGTAGGTTTCTGGCCTTTGCTTACATTGTTGCGATCAGGCTGGCTGAAGCCCGGTGGTATTTGTTACAGAGTTTCTGAAACTGCCGGCTCAGAGGCCTGCAGCGGCCGGGGGGGGACGGTTGGGTCCTCTGTCACTGAGGCAAGCAAGCCTCATGTTAATTTCAAGCTGGCTGGCTGCCGGCTGCCCTCTTGT